TAAATTAATTCTGTTGTGTGGGTTATTGACTTCCTTGCAACCATACCGTGCTGGGGATGTTAGAAAAATGTTATCTTTAGCTTGACTGGGCTTAGGTGCTGTTGAGTATACAAATCCTAAATTCAGGATCGTCCTGAAAACACGGAGACTTTGTTGTCTCTTGCCTCCTCCCCAATCCGGCTCCTTTTGTCGCCCTTCTGCTCCCTTTCTTGTTCCTCCCGAGCAGAGTAAACAGGACGCTTCCTTTTAAACAATTGAACATTTATAATTCCCTTGTTTTTACTTCCAAAAGAGCCGTGGTTCCCCCCTCCCAGCACAGTGCTGGCAGAGATCAACTTTTCCTTCTTGACGTTCAGGCTCGCTGTCTGTCGTGAGACCTTTTCATAACGTGGCTCTTGATACTTTTGCAGCATCTTCAAGAGGGAAGCAACCCAGCTAACTACAGATATTAAAACAGAATAACAGAGTTGGAAGGGACCTTGGAGGTCTTCTAATCCAACCCCTTGCGTAAGACAGAACACCTTATACCATCCTGGTCAAGATGATTAGGGGTGCTGGAGGCTAAAATACATAAAGAGCGGATGGAGGAATTGGGTATGGTCTAGTTTAATGAAAAGAAGGACTAGGACTGACATGAGATCAGTGTTCCAATATCTCAGGGGCTGCCACAAAGAAGAGGGGGTCAGTCTATTATTCTTCACAGCATCTGAAGGCAGGACAAGCAGCAACGGATGAAAACTAATCAAGGAGAGAAGCAACCTGGAACTAAGGAGAAATTTCCTGACAGTGAGGACAATTAACCAGTGGAACGCCTTGCCCCCAGAAGTTGTGGGTGCTCCATCAATGGAGGCTTTCAGACAAGTGGAGACAGCCACTTGTCTGAAACGGTATAGGTTTCCTGTTGGAGCAGGGGGTTGGACTAGATCTCTTTTTAATGATCTTCCACCCATTATTTTTTGTCCTGCCCTCAGGTGCTTTGAATAGGCCGACCCGCTCTTCTCTGTGACAGTCCCTCCATTACTTAATAGCATTGAATTATGTGTAATTATTAAATAATAAGTATTAATTATGACTTATTGCAGGACGATTTCCTATTTTTCAAGTCTTCTAACCCACATTTCTCAGTTCCATGTCTCTTCAGATTAGCTTTGGTGAGAAAAAGAATGTTTGTCAGGCTTTATTTGTTTCCAGGATGTATAAAGATCCCTGACCAACACACAATAGATGGTGTTGTTTGGAAATAGCTTGGCATCTTAAATCAAATTAATTGCTGATTCCATACGTCTTCTTGACGTGTTTCCTTCTTCCTTAGATGCTAGATTTTCCTTCTAGGTACTTCTTCCTTCAGTTTAGTTGGGTTGGGGCCACAGACTGGAGATTATTCACATGCAATAATGCATGAAGCTTCATGTTCATACTTCAACATGGATTCAAATAATCTATATCCAGCCAAGCTCCAACTAGGTTAAGAGTTTTCACTTCTCATATTTCATCACCTTCAAGAAATCAATCAGCAAAATGCAGAGATTTGGCATCTCCACAATAACATTTCTTCCAAGATAAACTGTTCGTATTAAACAGGTTACAATTACAAGGGGAGTGTTGCTTTTTTTTTAAATGTATTTATTTGTTGTGTATTTCTTTTCTTTTGTTTCTGTGTATACTGAATTGTTCATTTTTATTTTCCGTCTATCCGTCTGAAAATGGATCAATGAAAACTACTGGGTGATTTTTAAAAATACAGGCAAGGAAAGGCCAAGAGTTCGGACAATATTTTTTACAGGAAAATAGGTAAGTGTAAAACAAAATGTGTGGTCCCTGCATCTCAACAAAAATCCTTTGGCTAACTATTTCCATTTCCATTTCCATCTGTATAAAATAAGGTTAACAAGTTCCATTTATCTTAGCACATGAAAAAGCTGCCAATGAGATGTTCTTTCCATTCTTAAAATACACTCTGTCAATGTAAGTCAATTTCTTCAAATCCATAGCAAGAAAACAGATTCAGCTCTAGTCTCACACTTAGACTGAACATGTTCTCCAAATCAGACACCCAGGAGACCCCAAAATATCTGCATTTATTAATGCTAACTTGCCTTAAATAAAGGATTGTGGACTCCTGGGTGCTCTCTGGGCTTGGCTGTTTTCTTGCAGACGTTTCATTACCTAACTAGTTTGAGACTAAACCCCACTCCTTTTCAGCACTGATGGTGTTACCTACCTGGGTGATAAAACACCTGCAAGAAAACCACCAAGCTCAGAAAGCACCAAGGATTCCTCAGCTAAAGTTCTCTAATTAGTTAGTTCCCTAATCAACCACACTCCAACCAACCCTGGCAAGGCAAACCACTTGTAAAGAGAAACCAAACCCCCACTCCCTTCTAGCACTGATAACATTACCTAGTTGGGTCATGAAAGGTCTGCAAGAAAACAACCAAGCTCAGAGAGCACCATGGACCCCAACGTTCAACCTGAGCTACAAAGGTTCGTTTCTATTGAGAAAGGACAGCCTCCAACTTTATGTTTTTCACCACACGAGTTAAATCTGCATCCCTAAATAGAAGGGGCTCTGCCCAAAATGCCAATTTGCAGCTCTCCGCTATTAGACACCAAAGCAGAATTTCCATTTCATGAACAGAATGAAGGATCGCCATTCTCCCAAGAGAGGCTAGATGGACGTATCTCTCCACGTGCCCATCCCCAAAATGGCTTGTTGAAAACCCAGCCCAATTATTTCTTTTGCTTTTCTTGGTTTGCCTCGGATTAAAACCTTACCAGTAAGAACAAGACTGCAGTGTGTATCTGGCCATAACAATGACATTAAACACACACACACACACATACACAGGCACACAGAGAGCAATAATATTTATCCAAGAAACATTTCTAGCCTCAAGTGCTTTGATTGAAAGTGAGCCGATAACCTGGATTGGATTCGTATATGTGGAAATGTTATGAATGCCAGTTTCTCAACACCTTATGTCCTTAGCGCTGGGTCATGTTGCTGGATCTCAAGTTCCACGAGGCTATACTTTTCAAGAGAAATCAAGAGAGGGAAGAGGAGAGCTTATGGGCAGATAATTTCAGAGCTATACAAGATCACAGTTGTATACTAACCACTCTTTGGTCTGCGGTTGAGACATCCCTCTCTTTCGGCTCTCTCACACGTACACATTAAAGACAATTACAGGGCAAACTTTGAAAACATCCCGGAAAACAAAAACTACCCACCAGTAACCGGCAAGATACAATTACATCCACACTCCATTGTACCAAGATCTCACAACATAGACAAAGCTACAGGCGGTCCTTGTCTTACGACCAGAGTTGGGACCAGAATTTGGGTTGCTAAGCGATGTTGTTGTTAAAGAAATCCTCGTGGAACCAGACCCCAATTTTATAATCATTTTTACTCGGGTCATTAAAGGAATCACGCCATCGTTAAATGGATCCAGTTTCCCCAACTGACTCTGCTAGTCAGAAGTTGGCTGGGGAGATGACGTGATCACAAGACGTTGCAACTGTCGTAAATGTGAACCCAAGCTGCAATCACGTCGTTTAGTGACCGTTTGAAGTTACAACGGCACTGAAAAAAGTGACTTATGACCATTTTTCACATTTAGGACCACTGCAGCCTTCCCAAGGTCACGAGAACAAAATTCAGACTCTTGGCAAGTGACTCATATTTATGACGGTTGCAGTGTCCCAGGGTCATGTGATCAACTTTTGAGACCTTCTGACAAGCAAAATCAATGGGGAAGCTGGATTCACTTAACAACCATGTTACTAACTTAACCACAGTGATTAACAACAACTGTGGCAAGAAGGGCCATAAAATGGGACAAAACGTGTCTTGCTTAGCAACATAAATTTGGAGCTCAATTGTAGTCATAAGCTGAGGACTCTGTATGTCTTCCTGACCACCATAAATACCTTCTTCTCCATCCTTGCAAACCATTCTTTCAAATGCACGATTCTAGCACACTATTATTTATTTGCAGGCCCAAATGGGAGACTTCAAGGGCGCTTGATCCCAACGAGCATTTGCTGAAGTTAAACAGGTCAAGATAGGAGCTGGTTTCTACAAATCACCTTGAATTGCCTTACAGAAAAAAAATAAATGCAAATATAATAAAGGAAGATCGCTATCTTATATATACTTTCATAAAATTCCTAGTTCAAAACAGCAACCCAGAGAAGTTGGCTCACTGCAGACGATTTTAACCCCCATGCATGTTTTAAAAAAATTTCTTTTTCTAAATTCACATTCTAAATCAACGCTAATACGGTACACTCAGCATAAAATTTATCCCAGGAACCTCGCCCAACACTGCACATACCAGATGATGGGAATGTAACTACCAAATAACATGGCAATACTTATAAAGCAATAAAAAAACAGGATACATAAACATCTAATAAATAAATTAATGCCCACTGGGAACGTGGGAATTACAGTTCCAATACAGGTAGCCCTTGACTTACAACCACAATTGAGCTCAGAATTTATGTTGCTAAGTAAGAAATTTGTTGTCCCATTTTCTTGACACAGTTGTAAAGTGAATTGCTGCAGTTGTTAAGTTAGTACCCAGTTGTGCTTCCCCGCTGACTTGTTTGTCAGAAGGTCACAAAAGGGGATCACATGACCCCAGGACACGGCAACCGGCATAAATCAGTTGCCAAGCATTTGAATTTCGAACACGTGACCGTAGGGATGCTGTAATGGTTGTAAGTGTGGAAAATGGTCGTAAGTCACTCTTTTCAGTGCTGTTGTAACTTCAAATGGTCACTAAACAAACTGTTGTAAGTACATCTAATGTAGGAGTGTCCAATATGGCAGCTTTAAGACCCGTGGACTTCAACTCCCAGGTCTTAAAGTCACCACAGTTGGACACCCCTGATCCAAGTTGGAGAAGACAACACATGCATTTTTGTGAGTGTGTGTTATTACACAGGTGACAGCATTATTAGTTAAAATTGAACCATCAATTAACTCTTACTTTTCTGGCAGTGGTTGGAAGTCCAGCAGCGGAAGCTATATTCATTATTTATGGAAGTCTTCTCACACAGCGGTTTCTCTTCTACCGTTCCTGGACACAAATCCCCACATTCTTTTGGCGGTTTATTTCCTATAATGTAGTTGTTGGAAACAGCATCCAGGATCAGAGACCAGTCCACCGTGGAGAGATAACAGAGGTCAGAATTCTTCTCGATCCGGATGGCTCCCCGAGTGATGTTCCTCAAGTTGTACAGACCAATTTCCTTGAGGTTGGTCATTTCAAAGATGACCAACGCGTAGTTGTAGAAAAGGTTTTTGCCCCGAATCACCGTGAGGTTCGGAAAGAGGTCACTGAGGGTCTCCAGGCCAGCCACGCGGAACAGCAACAAATAATCGGTGATCATGGTGAGTTTGGGGAAGCGGAAGTTGCTAAAGTCCTCTCCTTGATTGATCAACAGAATCTGGAGATATCCTTCCACCACTGTGCAGCCCTCCAGCTGCTTCAGTTGCTCCATACTGTTGCGTATGTCGATGTTTGGCCCACAAACTGGGGAGACAAAAGAGTAGGATTTAAGATGCTTCAGTTCATGTTGTTAGAAATGCAAGCGTAAATTAACTTTCTGTCAGGCACAAAAGAAAAGGTCCACAGTGAAGGTTCAAGTAAACTGCTTTAAGGCTAAAAGCCTTCACATTCAAGGGAGGTCGGACTTAGTCCGTTTGTGGCCACGTAGGGATTATAGACTCATCCCTCTTTCAACTCCGCCTCCAGGTTCTCCTTCTCCTACACTTTCCTTCCAAATCTAATTTTAGCAAAACATTCCCTTTCTACCAGACAAAGTTCCGACCCAACGTCCTCCATTTTTTTTAAATCAGACTATAGTCTGATACTCTGAATATTAGATAAGTTATTAAGGTAGGATGTACAGTAGATGGGTCACCCATTATACCAGACCTGAGCATTTTACAGCCTCCAGGCCACATCTGGCCCGTTGGCTCTCCCTGTGTGAAATCAATCAGAAATTAGAAATCAAATGTAAATAAGTGCTCGCCATACATACAACTGCATCCTCTGCATCTAAAGTCATGTATGAATCCAGCGAGTTCTGTTTTTAACCCAAAAATTTGCCTGAGTTTTGTGTAAATGCAGCTATCTGTGATTTATCCAGTAAACCATAGTTTAATGGAAAATATGAACTGGGAAAACATTGGGAGAATGAGTAAGAATTCATCTAGGAAAATCAGTTCTCGATTTTTCAACAGTTTAATAAGCCTTTTATTCCCCTTGAGGAAAGCTTTGGCTTACAGGAAAATTGAATTTAGAGGTTTTAAAAGCAGTTCATATGACGGTTTAATAAGATTTGAATATTTTATACAATAAATCGTATCTAGCATTCAGCCATTGTATCTTTATCTAGCCAAGTTCACTTTTATGCGTCTTGTTTTTCTTCTAAAAAAAATTCTTCCATTCAACTCTAGTTAATGACTGTCTAATACGTCAGTTCTTATTTTTGTTTATTTTGCCTTGAAATTAACGTAATAAAAAGACAATCTAATCCTTGTTCAAAGAGTGCCACAGTTTCTTTTTGGCTGCCGTGTGTTTTCATTGGACTGTGGTTTACACACCACACACACACACATACACACAGAGGTTTGAGTGTACAGCACACAAACACACACACACACACGATGTGTCTTCCAAAGCATAAAATCAAACATAATGTTATTCATTCAGCATTTCACGCAAACTCTCTGTAATTTTCTTCTCACCACTAAGTAATTCAGAAAGTTTAACTACACATATGTTCAATTTTAATTTTCATAAGCAACTCTAGCATAAAAAGGAAGGTAAATTTATCCAATATATATAGCTTTAAATTTATTTATTTATCCAATTAATCTGGCTCGGCCATCTTGACAAGTAATACTGGGTGACAAAGAAAATTAAAATAAAAACAACTACAAATATTACAAAGGTTCAAATACAAAACAGCTTTCACAGCTCAAGGCAACACAGTACAGCTAGTCCTTGACTTATAACAGTTGCTTAGTGACAGTTCAAAGTTACAACAGCACTGAAAAAAGTGACTTATGACAGTTTTTCACACAACCCTTGCAGCTTCCCCATGGTCACAAAAAATTGGACATTTGGCAACTGACTCATATTTATGACGGTTGCCGTGTCCCGGGGTTATGTTTTTGCGAACTTCTGACAAGCAAAGTCAAGGGCGAAGCCAGATTCACTTAACAACCGGGTTACAAACTTTAAGAACTGTAGTGCTTCATTTAACAAGTGTGGCAAGAAAGTCATAAAATGAGGCAAAACTCACTTCACAAATGATTCACTTAGCAATAGAAATTTGAGCTCAATTGTGGTCGTAATTCGAGGACTACCTGTAGCTGTGTATGCATTTGATAAATTTGTTGAACGTACATCACACTAAGCCATTATTTAGCTCATAAACCACAATAGTTAGTTCACACAAGACACTTAGACACCACTGAGGTGATCATATTGTCATTTCATGTACTGAGGGAACCCAGACTTTTTAATACATCTTTTTTTGGCACATTAAAGCCACCACATCTTGGCTGTTTCAAAAGTTGCTCTCGCTCTCTCCCCCCTGTGTGTGCCCTCACAGCCACTTCCCTTTGCTGGGAACAACAGCAAAGCAGCTGTGCTGGCAGATGCAGGTGGGGAGAACCAGGGACAGCTGCATTTACAAGCTCTGTAAATGACACGGCTGCTTTCAACCATTCAAAAAGAGGTGTTTTCAATTCAACAGGGGGAAGAAATTACATCTGCGGGTTCTAGATCCCTACCCGCACACGGATTGCTGCATCATTGAAACTCTGGCTTACTAGACAACCCTCTGACTGCCTGTAACAGCAAGCCACGATACAGGGAGTTCTCGTCTTACGGCCACAAGGCAGCCCAAACTTTCTGTGGCTAAGTGAGACAGTTGTTAGGCGAGTTTTGCCCCACTGTATAATCTTTCTTGCCACACTTGTTAAGTGAATCACAGCAGTTGTCAAAATTAATAACGAGGTTAAGTGAACCTAACTCCCCCACTGACTTTGCTTGTCAGAAGGGATCACGTGACCCTGGGACAATTCAGCCGTCATAAATACATGGCAGTTGCCAAGCGGCTGAATTTTGATCACGTGACCCTGGGGATTCTGCATCGGTCGTAAGTGTGAAAAATAGTTGTAAGTCGCTTTTTTTCAGTGTAGTTGTACCAAGATACACAAGTCTGTGTGTGTGTGTGTGTAGAATGATGTTGTGAAATTCCGCCTCTAAATCTGCAAGCAGAGGAAAGGAATTTGGGTAGAATTGACAGGAGGATGGAAGGCATAATTATATGCGTGTTTTCATTTACTGCCTTCTTCTCATTTTCTATCTTTGCACATTCTTCTGTTTCTTGTTTCTTGTACCTTCTTTTATATACTTTTTACCGTATTCAAAAATTCCATTAATACACATACACACACACAAAAATACAAATACAATCATACAAATTGCTTTCATTTCCTTCCTTTTCCTTTTTCTTACTTTCTATCTTTGCGTACTTGTTTTGTTTCTTCTGTTTTTTACCACGTTCAAAAATCCCACTGATACATACATACATACATACATACATACACCCACCCACCCACCCACCCACCCACCCGGACACACCTATACAAAAATACAAATGCAATCGTACAAATCCTCAATTTGGTTTCCATGGGCCCACCCTAAGCCTACCAACGGGTTTGATTTTGCCTGCTGTGTCAACCCAAGATAAATAACGCCAGACCAGCCAGACCCCCCTCCCCACACACACACACACACACACATCCCCTGCCAACTGCTCAAGGAATGGCTGAATGTCCAAGGCAGACCCCCTTTGTGGCCTCACAACAAGTATCGCTGCCTCTCCTTCTTCAAAGAAGGCCTTTACATACCAAAGGGAAATGGAAACAAACCATCTGCTTCGGACCCCCCACCCCACCCCATAAATCTTGCAAGGAGCCCCTCAGGAAGTAGAAAAGAAATGTTTACAACCCTTTGCAAAAAGGGAGCTTGCATGAATACAGGGGCTTTTATCTAAGAGGGTTAGGAATTTCAGCTATTCTGAGCACTTGGCCTCCACACCTCCACCCCGAGACTCAACCAAAATGGCCAGGTCCCTCCAGTTCCTCTTCCTTCTCTAGGGAACTGACTAGGGGTGACATGATAGCAATGTTCCACTATTTGAGTAGCTGTCACAAAGAAGGGGGGAGTCAACTTAACAGAGTAACAGTTGGAAGGGACCTTGGAGGTCTTCTAGTCCAACCCCCTGCTCAGGCAGGAAACCCTATACCATTTCAGACAAATGGTTGTCCAGTCTCTTCTTAAAAACTTCCAGTGTTGAAGGGAGGTTGTTATTATAGTATTATACAATATTATTGTCTGTCTATCATCTATCAGACATAGGCAAGCATAGATATTTAATACATGAATACAGATAGTCCTCGATTTATAACAGTTCATTTAGTGACCGTTCGAAGTTGCAACAGCACTGAAAAAAATGACTTATGACCTTTTTTCACACTTAAGACCACTGCAGCATCCCCATGGCTACGTGATTTGCATTCGTATGCTTGACAACTGACTCACACTTATGACGGTCGCAGTGTCCCGGGGTGATGTAATCATCTTTTGGGACCTTCTGACAAGTAAAGTCGATGCAAGGCAGAGTCACCTAACAACTGTGTTATTAACTGAAAAACTGCAGTGATTCACTTAACAAATACGGCAAGAAAAATCGTAAAACGAGGCAAAACTCACTTAACAAATTTCTCACTTAGCAAATTTTGGGCTCAATTGTGCTCATAAGTCAAGGACTACAGTACTTGCAAATAAAATTTTCAGAGAGATGAGGATCTCATCTGTCTGGACTGCATTAATTCACTACCTGCTCATCTGGACTTTCCTTCCCCAAAAAACTCTGGCCACCAAATTAGTCTAGAAAGGACTGTAGATATTTATTTTAATCTATTTATTGCATGTTTATTTACACTTGCATAAACTATAGGATTTTTGAAGAGGGCTATTATTTTGAAAAGTGAGATAAAATTGCAATAAATAAAATGAAAGCCCTGATACCAGCATGTGTCTATTAAATGACTCAGTGGAAATTCTTTTTAATTGTTCACTTTTCTAAGCAAGCTAATAAATCAACAAAACCCTTTTTGAGATGCAATTCCTTGCTGCTTTTTCCTGGTTGAGTTTTTTTTTAAAGAGGTATTCGTTCTTTACAGAGATTTTTAAACATATGCTTAATTGCCTATATCTTTCTAAATTGCCCTTGAAGGGAAAAAAAATGAGGATTTCTGAACCACGTTGAATAGAAATGATAATCCTTTCTGCATTCTGGCAATAGTTCTCTCCTGTCTGTTGTGACTTTGGAAATATGACAAGCGGAGCATTAGAATATAAAGCAATGCTTTCCAAACCTGGATAAATTATCCAAAACTGGCTTTTATTAGGGTATCTACAAACCCTTCACCCATCACAACAGAGAC